TTTCCTTTTCTGTCTAATATATTTTAAACTTCTCCACAGTTTAGTGATCATCGTTCAACGTCAACCTAGTCTGGCTGACTATAAACACACCTATACTACTTCCTTTTTCTTTCCGTCTAACATATTATTTCATTTACTCTGACAGGATGTGGCCGAATTTCTCTGTCCCATTTTGTTCATCGACAACCGTGGATTCGACCGTGGTTTTAACGTGTTCGTCAGAAGGTGCAAGCAGTCGAAACGATACGAAACGTCGTTCTCGACGAGCGCGGATGGTCGGTGCACACATGTACATGCATGCACAGGTTTATTGGCTCTGTCTGTTTAGACAGGAAGTACGTGGTTACATATCAGCGGACGACTCGTAGACGGCCGTGTTTGTCTTTCTACACAAAGGGAACCTGGAAATTCGGCGGAGGGCGAAACCCCGCGCGTTTTGTCACCGCTGGTAATTGATACATTGTTCCAACATTGGCAGAAAGTTGCCAAAGTCTGGCCGGGGAGCCAGGAACCCTCTACACTGCGATTGCAAGAGAGAAATTCTTATTAATAAGTAATTCGTCCGGGAATTTTGCGAAACTTCTTCGTTCGTCGGTTTCAGTTTCCTCGAGGCACGAGTGACAAAATCGGAGACAAATCGGCCATTTCCACCGTATCAATTCAAATTTACATTAACAAAACTTGCAATCCTGCCGTTGAAGAACAAAATGGTCCACTATGTCAATTCTAACGTTAACGAGTGAAAGTTGAAATCCTGTCGTGAATCGTCAAGATGTGAATCAATCCATTGTGTCAATTCGAATTTTCATTTTCAAAACTCGTAGTCTTATCGTTGATGGAATGATTCACCGTGTCAATTTCACATTAACTTAATAATAATTTAATTCAAACGTATATTGATGAATATTGAAATGGACCAACTCGAACCTTCATTAATAAAACTCGAAGCAGTCTCATCTTTCATGAATAGAAGGATCCACTATATCAGTGAATTCATCGATATTAATTTCATTTAAATTTGTAGTTTCATTGTAATTGATCAATAGAGTGGTCCTGTCGCAATGAAATCAGACTTTCGTCACGATAAAATTTCCTATACAAACACCTAGTCCGAAAGACAAGCAGAATCTAAGCTCTAGTGCCAAAATTCGTCGACAAATTTACTTATTATTCGCACATTGATGAATCTCGTAGCTTCGACGAGGGAGGGAATTCAAGTCGTAATTATAATTTATACATTTATCGTAGTAGTTTTATCATTGATAAATATCGCGTGACATCAACTTCACGGTTTTATCGATTCGAATAAATATGAATTGCCGAGTTCGAAATTCATTGGCAAACAAGGTCGGAAAATACACTTATAAATTCACACATTGACGAATGAATTCAAGGCGAAATCGAAAGGATCCGCGTCGCAAAGTTCCCGGTTTGGAGGAAGCCTTCCGTCTACCGATGCAGGAGAATTTCGCGTGGCTGTCGGCGGCGCGCATTTCCTCTGGCATTAATGCGATCTGACGCGTGGCGCGCAACCACTTCTTGCGTCTGTAATGGAAGAACCGATTAAGCGGTGGCCCCACCGCGTTTTCATCGCCAGCTGCTGCGAGTACTTTCGCGGACGGCCGTATTCTCACCGGCGAGAACGACTGACAACCGACACGAAAATGCGCGAAAATCGGAGGGAACGCGCCGCGCGCTGACGGATATCGTGAAACTCGACCCAACATACCGATGACCAAAGCAATTTCAAATCTTCAGTCTACA